CCCCCCCCCCCCCCCCCCCCCCCGGCTATGGCATCTCCGGGGAGGGACAGCTGCTGTGTCCTGTGTTCAGACTCAAATGCAAGTTTGGGGTGGCTCCCCCCTCACCCCCCCAGGTACAGCTGGGATGGTTTGAGCCAGAGCTGCATTGTGGCAGACTCCTGCGGTCGTAACCAGCATCCGTCATCGAATCCTAGAAACTAGGACTGGAAGGGACCTCGAGAGGTCATCGAGTCCAGTCCCCTGCCCTCGTGGCAGGACCAAATACTGTCTAGACCATCCCTGACAGACATTTATCTAACCTACTCTTAAATATCTCCAGAGATGGAGATTCCACAACCTCCCTGGGCAATTTATTCCAGTGTTTGACCATCCTGACAGTGAGGAACTTTTTCCTAATGTCCAACCTAAACCTCCCTTGCTGCAGTTTCAGTGAGTCCAGGAGAGCAGGGACCAAGGTGCTTGGCTTGAAAATCAGATCAGTTGAGGCTTTCAGGAAACAGCTCTTTTGTTTTGCTTGTTTAGGACTTGGGTCTGACGATTGCAACCTGCTGAATATGAGCCTAGAAGCAGAAATGGTCATTGAACGACTGAAGGAGCAACACCAGAAGCAGCTGCAGCACCTGGAACAGGAGCTCACAGACACGGTAAGCGAGCTGCGGTCCTAAAGCTAGCCTCGACAATTCCCTCAGCTCCTCGGGGGGGGCTCGGTTATTCATTCCTTGCTGCCTTTTGAACTGCAGACTCCCACTGTGGGTCTGGGCTGGCCTGTAACCTCGCTCCTGCTTCCAGCACCAGTACAGCGCTCACCCCTAGAGTTAGAAGGGCAGGACCACCTCATCACAGCCACCTACCAGCAAGTAGAAAACAGTGACGTGCCCTCCTGCTGTTGCGTTGGTCTGTGGGCCACAGGAAACTCGAGTGGTGTCCCCCCAATGGGTCACCTCAGCAGTTGGAGCAATTGTTAATTTGAAAAGCTGTTGGATGGAAAGTTGATAAAAGTGACGCTTAAGCCACATTGCAGTGCTAAATTGCAACCCGTGGGGGGGGGGGAAGGGTTCAGTCTCTCACCTCATCATCCTTTCCTGCCTGAAGATGTACCGATGACTATAGTAACAAGCATCCATGCATTACTGCAGCATGATTGTGAGAGAGCGTCTCAGATGCCACCCGTCAGTAATTTAACAAAACTGATGATCCCCACAATTTGGCATAGAAAGCATGGAGTGGGGAGAGAGAAGAGTTTGCTGGTTCAGGAAATCCGTTTTTCCTTACAGCGGATCTCTTTTCTTTTGCTCGGCTTGCTATGTTCACTTTCTTGGGGAAATCAACAAGGAGAAGCTTAACTGAAGGATTTTGAAAGCGTGACTGACTAACGCTAAATCAGGCCCACCAGCTCTCGTCTAAATCCACCTCTTCCTGACTGATGAAAATTCGCTGGGACCCTCCATGTTGTCTACACTTTCATTGGTTTCACAAAAACGTGAAACCTACATAGACAGGAAGATACACACAGAATGAATTTCCTGTGTATACATGTAGAAAATTGTCCTTGCTGCGTCGAGGAATCAAGTTGACTGCTCTTGTGTCCCTTTTCTGCTTTTGGGTTGGGGGAGGCAGTTTCAGACGCACATGTGCAAATGCGAATATCGCTGCTCTGATAAGCTAGAAAATCAACCGTTGCATTTTTGTCTTCACACAGATAAGCCATTATGAAAAACAACTGATTGAGACCAAGGCCTGTTGTGAAAAGGAACAAGAAAACGTGGCAAAGAAATATAACGAAGAGAAGCAAACCATGGAAAAGCACATAAGTGCCCTTAAAAGCCATATTGAAGCACTCCAGGGAGAGGCAGAAATGCTCAAAGAGGAACGAGAAAGAATTGACTGTAAACATGCTGAGGAGAGAACCAGTTTACAGACCAACTTTGATACAGAAAAGGCTAATCTCCAAGAACTGCTGAAGCTAGGGCATGCGGAAGACCTCCGGATTAGGCTGGAACAGGTACAAGAAAGTTTTAACCGAGAACGGGAAGAACTGGTCCAGAATGGGGTGTGGTTGGAAGAAAAGATGAGAACTCTGGAGCAGACCCTGCAGGAGGAAAAAGGCGATGTGGAATGTGTTTTCCGGGAGCAACTGCAAAGCTTGACCGAAAAGCATGCTGTTGAGAGGCAAGAGCTACATCGCGAATTGCTGGAAAAACACCAACAGGAACTCCAAGAAGAAAGGTGAGACAGTATTGTTTGGGCTGGTTCGCTGAGGCTGAACTAGATCCGAAGAAGTTTTCTTCCTGATCTTTAATCTGTTTTAACTCTTCTTTAAAGTTCTAACTGTATGAACTATACTAGAAGGGCGATTTTTATCGTCCTAGGTGAGTCTTTTGGTACGCAAAAGCTTTCTTTTCTGGGCTTTTTTAAGACCGGATGCTTACTGTGACTGGTTTCACTTCAATGACAGAGAAATACAGATATAGAATCACATTCATTAGTAGGACCTAAAGCTCAATCAATTGGTAAATCCCATTTAGTGTCCCTGCCTATTATATTTTTTGTCTATTTATTCAAAGACTTTTTCAAATTACTGCTTGTCTCAATCAATTGGTAAATCCCATTTAGTGTCCCTGCCTATTATATTTTTTGTCTATTCAAAGACTTTTTTCAAATTACTGCTTGCGTTCTCCACCCCCAGAGCTAAATCTCTGACTCTGAACTTGAAAGTCGATCAGTGCAAGGAAACCCCTTGCTCTCATGTAAAGCATGACTGAGAGGGGTCCACTCACTTGAATCAGCTGGCGCCTGTTTTTAATAAGACTGCCTCTGAGAATACTGCACGAGTTATGTTCCTTGCCCCGCCAGTCAATTCTTGGATTCCAGCAGGTTGTGTCTCTTAAATGTAGCTCTGGTTCTCAAACCGGAAGAATCCCAAGCACTGTTACAGGCTGGGGACCAACTGGCTAAGCAGCAGTTTGGCAAAAAAGGACCTGGGGGTTACAGTGGATGAGAAGCTGGATATGAGTCAACAGGGCGCCCTTGTAGCCAAGAAGGCTAATGGCATATTAGGGTGCATTAGGAGGAGCATTGCCAGCAGATCTACAGAAGTGATTATTCCCCTTTATTCGGTATTCATGAGGCCACGTCGGAAATATTGTGTCCAATTCTGGGACCCCCACTACAGAAAGTATGTGGACACATTGGAGAGGGTCTGACTAAGAACGCTTAAAACAATTAGGGGGCTGGAGCACATGACTTACGAGGAGCGGCTGAGGGATTTGGGTTTGTTTAGTCTGCAGAAGAGAAGAGTGAGGGGGGATTTGAGAGCAGCCTTCAACTGCCTGAAGGGAGGTTCCAAAGACGATGGAGAGAGGCTGGTCTCAGTGGTGGCAGGTGACAGAACGAGGAGCAATGGTCTCAAGTTGCAGTGGGGGAGGTCTAGGTTGGATATTGGGAAAAACTATTTCCCTAGCAGGGTGGGAAGCACTGGGATGGGTCCCGTAGGGAGGGGGTGGAATCTCCATCCCTAGAGGTTTTTAAGTCCTAGCTTGACAAACTCCTGGCTGGGTTGATTGAGTTGGGATTGGTCCTGCTTTGGGCAGGGGGCTGGACTCGATGACTCCTGAGGTCTCTTCCAGCCCTATTATTCTATAAAAAGGAAAAACAACAACAATTAAATATGTTGGTCTGGAATGCAATAAAACATGTACAATTAAGTTGTTTTGTTAAACGGTTTAAAAACAGGCATTTTCTGGAGCTGGCAGAGATTTAGTAATGTGTTGTGTTGACCATATTTAGGAAAAAAATGGAAACTGAGTATAACAGAAGAACATCTCAAATGGAAACTCAGTTTTCTATCGACAGACAAACAATTGTGAACAAATATGAAGAAGCCTTGCAGAATCTTGAAGAACGCTACCAACGAGAGCTGCGAGAACTCGCCGAACAGTGGCACGAGGAGAAATCTCAGTGGGAATTTGAAAAGGATGAAATAATCCAGGAATGCGCTGAGGCCCAAGAGCAACTGAAGGAAACACTGGAGAGCAAAAAGGCCATTTTTTTTGCGCTAACACAGGAGAAAGAACTCCTAGAGAAGAGCTTTAAGGAACACGTGAACAAGCTAACGTGTGAAAAGGAGCAGCTCCAGAAAGAGCTGCAGGACCTGAGAGATGCTGCCGAAAAACAAGAGGACGCGTTGCATAATAAGTTACGGCAGCTACAAAATGACCATGAGAGGGAGCTAAAAGACCGAGAAGAACAAATGTCAGCAATGGAGGGGAAAAGAAAACTGGTTAGCCAAAGGCTGGAAGTGCTGGCAACTGAATATGAGCAAGAGAAATTCAAGCTGAGTTCCAAACTACTTCACTGGGAGGGTTTGACCCAAGAGACTCAGGAGAGAACAGAAAGAGAGAAGGCAGAGATGAGTTTGGAAATCTTAAAGCTGCAGGAAAAAATAAAGAAATTGCAGCAGGAAAGGCTTGATTTTGCCAAGCTGCAAAATGACTACAATGCCTTGGCAAAGGATTATGCAGAAGTGAAGAGCAAGCTTTCAGCCCTGTCTGGTGTGCAACTGTTGGAAGAGGATGGAGATATTCGTCCAAGCCTACAACAGGTGCATGAGCAGGCTACGCAGGAAAATGTGAATATGGCCCCTGAGAGGGTCGGCTTCCAGCAAAGGTTACAGATGCTAAAGCCAGGGAAACTTTCTGGGGTTGACTGGTCAAATTCTGCAGTGGAAGAATCTCAGCTGCAAGACGAGATGGAGAAAATTGAGGGTAAGGTTCTCAAAAGCCTGCAAGATGGTTGTAAAGAGATGGACAAGGGAGCAGACTTGCGTGTTGTTTCATTGTTGGAGGCTAAAACGAAGGCGCTTGAAGAAATGATGGAGGCTTATTCCAGTCTAGAGAAGATGTGTGAAGACACAAAGGTGGAGAACCATGCCCTGAAAAACCAGATTGGCCAGCTTTTGGAAAGTAGACTGATAGTGGAAGCAGAATGTAACGAAGCTAGTGACAAGAATCAAGATCAGATTTCCAGAGTATCTGTGCCGGAAATGAAAGAGTCAGAGCTTGAGAAAATCTTTGAGGCGGATTCCAAGTTGAAGATGCTACATGAAGATGTTAAAGAAGAGACAGGATGTCTTCAGGAAGATAGCAAGGCGGCAAAAATAAAATCTGATCATTCTACTGACCTCAGAGGGCTTTGTTCTGACGTTTCTAGGCATCAGACTGAACTAAAGAAGCCTGAGGAAATAACTGTGGTGTCTCTCCAACTTGAAAAGGTCTGTGGTGCAACTGAAGACAATGGAGAGCTGAACAGTCTAGTCCCTCAGCTTTGGGGAAAGATTGAAGAGCTAGAAGAAGGATCAATGGCAGAATCCACCCATCTGTCGTTACAGGAAGAAATCCGGCTAGAAAACAAGGGCCTGAAATCTGAACTGATAAAGTTGCGTGAACAAAATAAAAAACTAGAAGAGGATATACCACAGCTTACAAGCCTGAAGCACAGGTTAGAAGAAAGTAATCAAGAGAGTGTGCAACTCAGACGGGAAAAAAAACATCTCCTGGAAAAAGTTAAGGAACTGGAAAACACTCGTGACCGATATGCACAGGAAAAGATAGAGATGAGCAGTGAGAACTTAAGGCTGCAACGCAGGCTTGGAAAACTGGAAGAACATAGTTTAATATTTAAAGTCCTGCAAGACAAACATGGGCAATGTGAGACCACGATAAAAGGCATGGCAACGGAGAAAAGAGAGCTACAGGAACTGAACAGGAAGTTGAAAGAGAGAGTCACCTCTCTGGTTAAGCAAAAAGACCTGCATTCTCAAGAAGAAAAAGAGGAGTTGAATTCAATGATACATGATTTGCAAAGCACATGCAGTGAGCTGCAGCAAAAAGTTGAACTCCTGAGGTAATGTACGCTTAAAAAAAAAAAAAAGGGACGTATTTGTGGTCCCTGCAAAAATCTAACTTTGCTGCTTGCTGTGCTTAGAAAACTAACCTGCTAGCATTCACTGTCTGTCATGTAACTGCTATTATCTTATGCTTTCGTCACATTAACCAGTAGATTAACCTTGATTAGAAGACAATGCCTTGGATTCTAACTACTAGCAAGCAAACTGCTGTGGATTATGAAAGTTTGTAGGTTAATTTAATCACCTGTGTAGTTATGCAAGTCAAGCGATTCTAAGGAAGGTAAAGCAAGAGCAATTTGTCAACTGTTCAGCTGTGCTTGTATGTATTTATTCTTGCAGAGTGTATTTTAGTTGATCTGTCTCAGTGAAACAAATGTTTTAAAGTGAAAGAACATTACTATAACTTCTCTGGAGTGCTTTTAACTTCTATACTAATTATTTCTCTACTTCCCTTCCCTTAGTTCTTGGCCTCCATGAATGTAACTAAGGATGCTAACAGAGCTGCAATTTTCTAAAATGTTAAAGTTAACACTGAATAATCTTGGTATTTTTCTCAAAATAGGAGTACTTAAATCATTCAGAATCCATTAAGTATGTGATACAGTAAATACCAGCATAACTGAGAACATGTGTAGCTCATAATAAGTTCCCTGCATTTTTTGTTGAAATTTAGCAGTTAAAGAAGTAATTCTCTGGAGAGTACGCAAAGTAGTTACAAATGGCTGTGAAGAATTTAATAAAAAGTTATGGGAAGTCTGGAGTGACCCTTTCAAGGATGACATGACACGACTCTCATTTTAAAACCCCTACTCTAAAATTGCAAACAAAAGAAAAGACTAGTCTGCTACTTCTCATGCTGGTATTCTCATTGTATTAAGCTGCTGTTTCTGAAACAGAAAGTCTAATTCAGTATAATATTCAAACTGCTACAAAACCATTGTTTCCAAATTGAACAAATCATTACCTTGTAAAGTGATTTAAAGACAAAAATTAGTGCGCATTGAATTTTTTACTGGATGCCAAAGGTGTGACACATGTTTGCAATCACCTCTGAGTGTAACAGATTTACAGTAAAACTCCAATTGTCCAGCATCGAGTGGTCCGGCACTCCTGATAGTCCACCAACTGGAACCCGAAAGTGCTCTAGCCAGCCGGACAGTTGGAGCTCCTGTGAGCCCCATGCATGCTCACGAGCTGGGAAAGGGAAGGGAAGGAGAGGGGACGGGGATTATACCCCATGACGGGTCTGCCAGGACCCGCACTGCGGCCAGCCGGGGGGCGGGGGCGGCGGGGAACAGCATGGCGAGGGACAGCTGGCGGGCTTGGGGAAGTCGCGGGTAGAGCAGCTGGGATGCTGCCAGGTTGGTCCTGCAGTGCCGCTCAGATGAGGGGCAGCGCTGCGGGACCAACACAGCAGCACCCCAGCTGCTCTGCCCCACCGCTTCCCCAAGTCGCTGCTGCCGCTTGCAGCCCCAGCTGGCCTGTTGCCGGCTGCTGCATGGCAGAGAGTTTGCCCCACATTGCGCTGTTCCCCGCCGCCCCAAGACCCCTCATAGCCCCCCTTCCATAGTATCTCCTGATACTCTGGCATATCCGATAATCCAGCACCCCCGGGTCCCAAAGGTGCCTGATTATTGGAAGTCTACTTTATATTTTTTATTAATTTGTATGTGAAACAAAGCCAGCTATTGGGCAGCAATATACATTACATAAAAGCCATGTAAATTCATCCATCTGATATGTATTAATTGGGAGTTCTGCTATTTCAGCAGTCAAAAGGTAAATTACTTCTGTAATGAGAATGTTTTTACCCGTGGAGCTGGTAGGAGGGACAAGACCATCGGTGTGTTTCAGCTGTCTTGTCTCTCTACCGCAGATGTGAGGCGGAGAGGCTCCGAGAAGAAAATGCTATCCTGAAGAATGAAATAAGCCTGTTAAATGAGGAAGGTAGTGTTTCTAACCTGAAATTAAGGGAGCTAAATGGATCTCGAGAAGAAATGTGGTAAGAACACAAAGTGGCATATGATGCACTTGCTTCCTGGTTTTAATTGCGAGCGGCAATGCAGACAGGAAAACGGCACCTTATTGTTGCTATGGGACGTGCCAAGTTAGCCTCACCGTTCCCGAGTTTATTAGAATTGCCGTATGCCTTTATAATGGCCGTGATTCTCTCCAGCGAGAGCCTGTCGTCACGGCAGAGTTTGTGCAGTGTGTGAGCTCCTACCAGCCTCTGCTTGCTCTGCATATGGCCAGCTAGGGAGCGGGTACTTCTCTCACCAGAGAAGCACATCACCTGCTAACTGATCGACCGGGCGCATGCACTCGGGCTCCTCGCTTAGCCGCAGGCCCAGCCAGTGACCACCGCCCCTGTGTGCATGTGGGAAGGCAGGCGGAGCAGCCGTCTGCTGACGTGGTCGCAGTGCAGTGGCTCCCGTCGCCTAGCAACCACATCTACCTGCTCTACCGTGGCCTCGTGGCTTCTGATGAGCAACAATGGATGTGTTCCAAGACATTTCGCAGGAAAGCTGGGGAGGGCCTTGGCTTCCATCTCTCTCCGGAAGGACTGTCCAACGTGTGGCCCTTGCATTGCCAGAGCCGTCGTGGAAAGAAGGGGAAATCTTTCCTTGACCTCGTGCATCAATCTCTTGGCTGGGGAGGGGAGGGGAGGCGAGCAGAGCACTGTCCATGCGTATGTGGAAAAAGGAATTCCCTGCTTTGAGAACATAAGAACGCCCATACTGGGTTAGACAAGTGTCCTGTCAGCTGACAGTGGCCAAGGCCAGGTGCCCTAGAGCAGGGGTCTCCAACCTTTTTAAGCAGGAGATCACTTTGAATTTAAGTGCAATCCAGGACCTACCTCAAATATAAATACCCTTGCCCCGCCTCCTCCCCCACCCCTTGATAGCTCACTCCATCCTCCCTCTCTTGCCCATCCTCCCTCACTTTCATCAGGCTGGGGCAAGGGTTGGGGTGCAGGCTCTGGTCTTGGATGAAGGGATCTGGAGTGCGAGAGGGGCTCTGAGCTGCTCTGGGGGCAGGCCGGTAGGATGTAGGAGGGGTTCTAGGTGCAGGCTCTGGTCTTGGATGAAGGGATCTGGAGTGCGAGAGGGGCTCTGAGCTGCTCTGGGGGCAGGCCGGTAGGATGTAGGAGGGGTTCTAGGTGCAGGCTCTGGTCTTGGATGAAGGGATCTGGAGTGCGAGAGGGGCTCTGAGCTGCTCTGGGGGCAGGCCGGTAGGATGTAGGAGGGGTTCTAGGTGCAGGCTCTGGTCTTGGATGAAGGGATCTGGAGTGCGAGAGGGGCTCTGAGCTGCTCTGGGGGCAGGCCGGTAGGATGTAGGAGGGGTTCTAGGTGCAGGCTCTGGTCTTGGATGAAGGGATCTGGAGTGCGAGAGGGGCTCTGAGCTGCTCTGGGGGCAGGCCGGTAGGATGTAGGAGGGGTTCTAGGTGCAGGCTCTGGTCTTGGATGAAGGGATCTGGAGTGCGAGAGGGGCTCTGAGCTGCTCTGGGGGCAGGCCGGTAGGATGTAGGAGGGGTTCTAGGTGCAGGCTCTGGTCTTGGATGAAGGGATCTGGAGTGCGAGAGGGGCTCTGAGCTGCTCTGGGGGCAGGCCGGTAGGATGTAGGAGGGGTTCTAGGTGCAGGCTCTGGTCTTGGATGAAGGGATCTGGAGTGCGAGAGGGGCTCTGAGCTGCTCTGGGGGCAGGCCGGTAGGATGTAGGAGGGGTTCTAGGTGCAGGCTCTGGGAGGGTGTTTGGATGCAGGGGTGGAGGAGGGGGTTCATGACTGAGGTAGGAGTACGGGATGTGGGCTCCAGCTGGGCCCTGCATACCTCTGGTAGCTCCTGATTGGTGATGCAGTGGGGTAAGGCAGGCTCACCCCTGCACTGGCCATGGCCCACTCCCTAAAGCAGCCAGCAAACTCCCTCCCAAGCCCTGTTGTGCCCCCTCTCTGCTCTGTGGAGAAAGGATACAGGGTGGGAGGGGGCGCCGTGACATCAGCGCCCTCCTCTCCCTCCCCTGCCCTGCACAGAAAGCAGGAGGCTCCCCAGGGGAATGGCAGCTCCAAGGCAGAGGGCCGGAGATGCACAGCAGGGGGTGGAGGGGCAGCTGAAGTGCTGGCACTTGATAGCCTCTTGGCCAAACCTGTCAGGGGCTTCAAGATCCACCAGTACATCCCGATCAACCGGTTGGGGACCACTGCCCTAGAGGGAATGAACAGAACAGGGACTCATCAAGTGCTCCCTCCCCTGCCTTTCTACCACTAAGCAGGAATTTTTCAGCCATGACTAGGGCCCTACCAAATTCACAGGCCATTTGGGTGAATTTCATGGTCGTGGGATTTTTTTAAATCATCCGTGTCATGATTTTGGCTATTTAAATTGTCATGGTGTTGTAATTGCAGGGGTCCTGACCCCAAAAGGAGGAGGCTTTTTGGGGGAGAGGGAGGATTGCAAGGTTATTGTGAGGGTAGGGTGGTACTGCTACTCTTCTTCTTGTGCTCAGAAGTTGCTGCCACTCTCCACCCACCCGGCTCTCAAGGCAGCAGCACAGAAGTAACATTTCTGTGCTGCTGCTGGAGAGGTGCTGCTTTCAGAGCTGGGCGCCCGGACAACAGCTGCTGCTCGCCGGCTGCCCAGTTCTGAAGTCAGTGCAAAAGTGAGGGTGGTTCCTTCCCCCAAAGGAAGCATGTGAACCCCTGCAACTCCCTGATTTGAGCAAGTCCCCAATTTGAGAAACACTGGTCTCCCCCATGAAATCTGCATAGACAGGGTAAAAGTCCGCAAAAGACCAGACTTCATGGTCTGTGACACGTTTTTCAAGGCTGTGAATTTGGTGGGGCCTACCCATGACTATTTGTGATGGAAAGATGCTGCCGTTTGAAACAGTTCTACAATAGCACAATGTAAAAACCCCGCTGCTAACCCTACTTTTATTCATCGCCAATGATTTAGGCAAAAAATCGAGTCTCTAAGAAAGGAGAAGGTGGCTGTGCAGAAGATGGCTGACAACTTGAGAAAACAGGTATGAAGACTGAGGCTTCCTCCTGCATCTCTTCTGTAAAGAGACAGGGGTTGCATAAGGCAATTTCTTCCCAGAGATGAAATGTCATGAAGGCAAGCGGAGATGCACTTGACATGTAGTGAAAAAAGATCCTGGCTCTAGGTTCTCCTTTATCGTTCCATGTTAGCAAGAGGTCTCTTGGACATTTTGTGTTCAGGGAAATTGCATTCTTTCATTCTGTAGGCACTTAATGAAAGTAACTCTGTAAAAGTTGTCAGACGTTTGAAGGTGTGTTCAGTATGATGAAAGACTTCCGAAGAAAACGACAGGCCTATCTCAGTGCAACACCTTCACTCAGGGGTATCCTTGAGTGACAGTTACCCACCTACCTTTCCATGTGGCCGGCACTCTGCTGACGTGGGGGGTGGCGGGTATCTCCCGTCAACCCAACTACTGCCTGTCAGGGAGATGGAGAAGCTCTCCCATTGGCATCTTCACTGAGCGCTAGTGTAGTGCAGCAAATCCTTCATTTTTGCAAATGTCTATTTTGTCTCCCTGGCGGGTACACCTCTGCAGCACCCAACGGAAGATCTTAGTTGTTTTTTCAGGCTGGTCTCTCTTCCCACACAAGTTGGGCACAGGAATGATGCCAGTCCTGCATGTATCTCTCCCCTCCCCCTCCCCCCCCGAGACATATTCATTTTACTTGCATCAATCACAGGCTCTGAAATTTCCAAGAGGAGTTCTGTACAGTCAGGAGAAGAGTAGGTTTAAAAAAAAATGTTTTAAGTTGGTTTCCCTTTTTTAATATTGCCTAGCAAAAATCTGCTTGCACGGAGAAATGTTCTTCCTTATGGCCGAGTCTTCTATACCCCCAAAACACGTCCTGGCAAAAGGGGGCTTGCTGGGAAGGGATTTGTCAGTCATGGCAAACTATCCTGAAAGCGAGCTGTACCCCAAAACACGTCCTGGCAAAAGGGGGATTGCTGGGTAGGGATTTGTCGGTCATGGCAAACTATGCTGAAAGCGAGCTGTGTTTAACTACAGATGTTAAGTATTGTGTAATTCACTTATTGAATAGTCGATGCATTTTTGTATCAGCTGTTCGATCAGTCAATACGAAAGTATTGTGTAATTCACTTATTGAATAGTCGATGCATTTTTGCATCAACTGTTCGATCAGTCAATACGGCAGCACTGCCCCTTTGAAATGCCGCCATGGTGTTACAAAGGGGCAGTGCCGCATGGAGCCAGAGGTCAGCTGAGGATACACAGCTGATTCTGGGCTCTGTGCAGCGCTGCCCCCTTTGAAATGCTGGTTTACAGAGCTTTCTGGTTGGCGACATGCCGGAGAAAACAGCTTTTACTGTAGTCCATGCAGGAGAGAGAGAGATTGATTTGTTTCTGATGTTCCTGTGTTCGTCAGGTGTCAGATTTGAAAACCAGGAACCAGCAGCTGGAGTTTGAAAATGCAGAACTTAGCCAAAAGAATTCGAAAAACCAAGCAGACGTGCAGGATCTGAACCAACGGCTGGCAAGATTGCTCAGGCAAAAGGAAAAGGACGTGGGGACGTGTACAGAGGAAGAATGGGAAGGGGAGAGATCGAAGCTGAAAGAGGAACAGGAGAACAGTCAAGTGAAGGTACAGCACACCACCGTTTCATGGCGAAGGGTGTGGCTGTTGGATTTCATCAACGAACGCTATTGCATAGGCACCCCTTGAACTAGCAGCTTCTCTCCCCATCTCTTAACAGTGTTATGGCGTTTAAATATTGCTCTTTCAGTCCCATCTGCAAAGATGGGTGCTCGCAGAAGTGGGGGCAAGGGGCCAGAGGGCCTGCTCTTCGGCAGCGTTTAAAAGGGGCTCCGGAAGCAGATAGAAGAGTTACGGTTCCATTTCAAAAACTAATTGCATGAAACGCAAAGGGGCTGGGCGCTGATTTTCACAAAGGCCTCACAAGTATTTTGCTAGAGCCAGTTTGGCCTAGAGCAGCAGTGCTCAATTAGGGCGCGTCCACACAGCAGGGCCAAAGCCGAAATAAGCTCCACCGCTTCAGCTGCGTCGATTGCGTCGCTTGAGTCAAAATAGCTCATTTCGGCTTTTGACGCAGGACGTCCGAGTGAGAGCGCCCTGCCCCCGACTGCCCTTACTCCTCGTGAAATGAGGGTTCCGAGAGTCGGAGGAAGAAGTCCTCCCGCTCGATAGTATTTCGACATTGTCGAAATAACAACCTGTAGTGTAGATAGACACGGATGATGGTATTTCGGAATAACACTTCTGTGTAGACGTACCCTTAGGGGCCCGCGAGCAGGTTTCAGCGGGTCTGCCAAGCAGGGCCAGCATTTGACTCGGTAGGGCCCCAGGCAGAAAGACGAGGCGCCATCGTCCAGGGCAGAAGCCTGGGACCCTGAGCTGAGTCACCTGGGGTTGAAGCCTGAGCAATGTAGTTTTGTGGGGGCCCCCTATGGCCTGGGGCTCAGGCGATGGCCCTAACCTGGCCCTGGCTTTTGTATGCTGGACAACAGTTCTGTCACTTGTGGCTGTGGAGTTTTTACAGCCTGTGATTGGGTCACTGAAGGAAAAAGATTGAGAACCCGTCGCCTCACATTCCCCCTGGACCAGTGGGCAGTCTGTCTCCTGGATTGGTCGTTTGGGCGAGCCTGAGTTTTCAAAGGCCCAGTTCAGTTAGCATTGTGTGCTTTTCCTTTCCCCAGTCGTCAACTCTGGTGTCTTCCTTGGAGGCTGAGCTGGCGACCGTCAAGGTTCAAACTCGCTTACTGGAGCAGGAAAACCATCTCCTCAGACAAGAGCTGGAGAAGACCAAACAGGTAAGACCACCCCCATTCCCGTCCAGATTGTGCCGATGGTGAATGTAAGCCGCTGGCAGGGTAGTTGCCTTTCGCATTTATATTCTGCTCTCCCAGCGGAGGCGGAAAGAATTAGCTTGTTTATACAGGAAGGCAGCGACAAAAGAGGAATGCAAATACCCTGGCGGCAAAGTCCCTGGCCGCACAGCAAAAGTATGAAGACTGTTGTTCCCCTCTATCTTCCACCAACAGATGTTCCAAAGCAATGGGCGTTGGGGGCCGGTCTTGACAATGAAGGGCTGGAAAGGAATATTACAAACTATGGCGTATTACCCAGCTGTGATTCCCGATTCTCTGTAGCAGCTGGTCATAGCCACGTGGTTTCCCGTATCAGGATTAGTCTGTTCCAGGATTGCTGTACCAATTGATGCCTTACCCTTAAAAGGTTTCAGTAGATATAAGCTTTACTACCGGAAGCGTTGGTATCATGGTTTCATTTACATGAACAGAGTAGCGCCAGTGAAGTCTTGCTTGCCATGCTGTGATCTCAAATCACTGGAACTGACGTTACCGTCAGGGTTGGATTGTTAACCCCTTTGATCTGGGCTCCATGGACTCAAGTTGTGTGACTGCAAAACGCATCCTCTTTAAGATGGCTCTCTACACACCTGGGCCATGCCTCCGCTGTCTCCACAGCTGTTCATAGTGATGTCATGTCCTGCTCCGGGGGTCCTAGGCTGCTGCGGGGAACATTTTTAGCTTGTGTTTGTGGCTTTTCAAAGGCCGTTGTGCTTCGGTTTTTTACTTCTTAGAAATAGCAGGAGTGTAAGCCCCTGCCCTACTATCGTTTTGCTGGAGAACCTCTGAGACGTCTCAAAGGTGTTTTGGCTCCAACTCATTAGCTGAAGATGAGAGGGCATTGAATCTCTATCTAAGCTCCCTGTTAGCTTAAGCATTAGTTGTAGTTACATGAGCATTAATAAAAGCAAAACAGAGTGTAAAGCAACCTCACTAAAAATCCTGTTCCCTCTAAATTGCTATTTTTTCACTCTGGTGGCTGTTGTGATGGTTTGCTCCAGGGGGTCTGAAGAGTAGTTTTTAGAAAGGAGTGGAGAAACAATTTGTTGAAATTAACTGTAGCTTTCACTTAAACTGAGGCAGGGACTTAATTTTTAAAGATACTTGCTCGGTGCCTAGCATGATCCCCATAGAAAGAGCTGTCTAAAATGTTTGTGAATGATGTCATAGACCACAGCAGAAATGCTGCTTGGTAAGAGAACAAGATCTGAGGGATTTCTGTCTCCCACAGCTGCCCAGATGTCCTGATCTCTCTGACTTCCAGAATGAAATTTCTAGTGTAATAATGAAAAATGAAAAGCTGCTGAAAGAAAAAGAAGCCCTCAGTGAGGAGCTAAACAGATGTGTTGATAAGGTAATAAAAATGGCAAACCATATTTCAGACCCCTTGCCATATCCAACTCTAATTCCTATATATTCCCTTAGGGTATGTCTAGACTGCATCCCTCTGTCGCCAGAGGGATGTAACTTAGACATATCGAAATTGCTAATGAAGCGGGGATTTAAATATCCCATGCTTCATTAGAATAAAAATAGCCGCCGCTTTTTGCCACCACAGCAATTTGCTGGCACAAAAGTGGCGATCTGGACAGGGATCGGTCGACAAGGAAAGCCTTTTCCGACCGATCCCTTATGCCTTGTGCAACGAGGTTTACCGGATCAGTCGGAAAAGGCTTTCCTTGTCGACCGATCCCCGTCCAGACTGCTGCTTTTTGCCGGCAAATTGCCACATTGGCAAAAAGTGGCGACCATTTTTATTCTAATGAAGCGTGGGATATTTAAATCCCCGCTTCATTAGCAATTTCGGTATGTCTAATTTACATCCCTCTGGCGACAGAGGGATGCAGTCTAGACATACCCTTACTCTGTGAAATAACTTTGCTGTCTTTTCCTCTTACAGTTATGCCACATAAATGTGTCTTATTTCAGTATGTCTGTCCAGGTCTCCATGTACTCTGCAGTGTTTGGAATTTGCTGTAAAATCAAATTGTAGCAAATCTGCACTCCAGAATCAAAGCTTTCATTTTAAAAAAATCAGTGTTTCAAACCTTAGGGTTTGTCTCTGTGCAAATTTTCACTGACTTAATTTAAAGTTTGATTTCATATTGTTTTAGTTAACAGTGCACAAGGCTTTGTGATTGCTTTTATTTTTTTGGTTAAACCGAGCATCGTATGATTTCATTTTTAAGGGTTTTTTGATGCACAAACTGGAATGGAAAAAACTTGAGTGTTTTGGTGTAAGTGAACCCTCACAACTGGGATTGTGTGTCCTATTTCAGTTTAATTTAAACATTTTTTTCCCATGCCAAGAGCCACGGGACCTTGGTGCAGTACTTAAGCCCAGTTCATCCAGGAGTACACACCCCCTTGAGTGTACCATGCACTTTAGAAGATGTAGTGAAATGACCAGTCAAAAGGGCAGCCGGCAGTGAGATGGTATTTTCACTGTAGCCTGTACCTTTCGTTTCTAAACTTGCTCCTTAAGAACTTGCTCCTTTGAACTCAAGAAGTGGAACTGGCATGCAAATTGTATACACCTCTGTTAGCTCCTTGCTGTACTGCACTTTATCTGAAACCTCATGTAGCTTGAAGCGGCGAGGAGTCCTGTGGCACCTTATAGACTAACCGAAGTGTTGGAGCATAAGCTTTCGTGGGCAAAGACCCATTTCGTCAGATTCAGACTAACACGGCTACCCTTCTGACACTTGACTCGTGTAGCTTGACTCTCATCAAAGTCAAGAGCTGGGGAGAGAAATCCCAGCGATATTTTGCATACAGACGAGTGGTGCACTGTTCCCAGTAGTGTTCCTTGCTCTCATTTCAGGTAGCTAAAGTGAACGTCTTAGAGAATGTTATTGCCAGTTTGAAGCAGGAGCAAAAGTCCTGGGATCAACAAAGTCAGGCACTGAAAACGCAGCTCACAGCCTCCCAAGAGAAGGTACGGTCATATGGTGTGTTTTGAAACGGAGACATTTTTGTTAATTCCTGGGAGAAGGCAGGCGTTTGCACAAAATAACCCTCTTATCCTGTGCAATTAATACCTGGGACATGTCTTATTTATCACAGGAGTGAGTGAAAATTTACTCATCGCACGCTACATCTGTCTCTGGAGGGATAGCTGTGGTTTTATTTCTACTGTTAGGCCTTGTCTACACTTAGCAGGAGATCGGCACCGTGGGGATCCATGTCCCAGGGATCGTTTTCAGTGGGACACGCTAAATCGATGGCTGGTCATGCTCCCATCAACTCCTATACTCCAATGGATGGAGTCGAGTCAGGGGAGTTGACGGGAGAATTTCTCATGTCGACCCCCACAGTGGGGATGCTGCAGTAACTTGATCTAAGGTACGTTGACTCTAGCTATGCTATTCGCATAGCTGAGTTACGCACCTTAGTTCGACATTGTCCCCTAGTGTAGACCTGGCCTTGGATTCCCCTTTGCTTTCACCTGCTTCCCAGTTTCCTGGTATTACCTGGAAAGAGATTCTGCACCAGCTAGTACTAATCCCCTTTCCTGCTGCTGCCTTTCTTCTCCTAGCTGGCCTGCCTGGGGAGGAAAGGAGAAAAGGGGCTGGCTTGGCTGACAGCCGTTGTGATTGGATGGCCAGAAGTAACCTCAACAGAAACCCTTCACATTTCCTCCCTTGGCAGGAAGTTATGATGTGGCTGGCAGGAGACACGTGAGTGTTGCATTCAGCGTGTTAGGTCGTTGCTATTTTGGAATGGCTGCTCAGGTCATCTGGCACCTTTCTGGAACAGCTGACAGTGCTGTGCTTTCTCTTCACCTCTTTCTTGTGTCAGGCAGAAAGCCTTTTCATCATCCCTGTTTGTTTAGGAGCCAAGACTCCTCAAGGAGCCTCACTGTACTCCTCTCATAGCCACTGATAAATCACTCTTGTACCAAATTCACAGACTGGTTATAAATCCCTTGTAGTTGAACTGTTTGCTTTGTTTTGCTTTGCCCATCAGGCAGTCACTAAGAATTTCTGTTTCTTCATTGTGGCCAGTTTAAAGTTTCCCTTTCTCGTACATTTCAGGTCCAGAGTCTAGATGAAGCTCTACAAAATACCAACCTTCAAACGTCCTGGCTAAAATCTGACCTATGGGTATCCCAGGAGGAGAAGGAGACTCTTAAACAGGAAGTGATGTCACTGCACAAGCAACTTCAAAATGCCAGTGACAAGGTAATTCTTGACTAACTACCTTGACCAATACTACAGGTTGAACCTCTCTAGTCCGGCAATGTCCGTGGTCCGGCAAGATTTGAGTTAGCTGGATGTCGCTTAACACGGGTATGGCCGAGTTTCCTGCGGTCCCATTAAGTTTACAGCCACCAAGCCTGGCTTAGTGTTCCGTGCTGTTTAGCTCTAATTTAGCCCTAAATGTCTTCTAAGAGCCCCATGAGCGTGGAAGTCTTGGTAATGCTGCTAAACGCTATTGACCTTCTGTAGATCGGCAAATTCTCTGGTTCGGCACCGGTCAGGTCTTGAGGGCGCCAGACTAGTGAGGTTCAACCGGTAGCATAGTCTCAAAATACCCCAGCTTATTATTACCCGATAGTTTCAATTAAAAGAATCGCAATTGCTACTTTCTTTTGAAGCCTATCGTCGTACCCTGCATAGCCTATTCTAATAATGCGCGTATTTTGTTGGCTAAGAACAAATAGCAGCAGAATCTTGCAGATGTAGCAATTACATATTTAACTGTAGACCTCTTGGGAATAATGACATTCTAGCTCCTGTCCCTACCACAGCACTCCTTAAATTGCAGCTGCAGCCTGCGTGGCAGGCTCTCTGCCCAGGGTAGGTGCAGCATGTGCTGGGCAGCACTGCAGCTGCTGGGGGAAAGCTAGTCCCGCCCCTTCTGCCCAAGGTCCCGCCCCTTCTGGGTGCAAGGAGCCAGCCTCCCCCTCATTGCCCAGGTACCCAGCGAGTCTGTCGGCCTCCCTCACCCCACACTTATTTCTGTGGTAATTTGCACTTAAAATAGACTTAAAAGCTAATTATAATGAGTGTCAGGACAGGGTGAAGCTCAATCAGAACCCCCTGTTGAAATGAACTTGCGCCTTAAGAGGGATATTTTTACATCACCTCAGGATAAACTTTCAGTAAAAACAATCTGCATGGTCATTGGCCCCATTTCCTAGGTATAACCACAGTCCTGTGCTAGAGCGGGGCTTCAGAGACTTTGCAGACTGCAGTTGTCCTCACAAGGGACCTTCGTGCTTGGGGAATAGACCCAATGTTCAGTTGCGTGTTGTGGTTTCAAAAGAAGCGTTCATTAAAACAGCCTTTTGCTGTGCTTTGTTTATCGATAAGGAACACGAATACTTGGGGAGGGGGCGTAAGGAGTAATCACTGTTGCAATTTACTTGCATAGTTTATCATTGTGACATACTGTCATCGTTCCCCCCCCCCGGAAAAAGAGCCACACAAGTTTTATAACCAGGACCAAATCCTAGTTCTAAACCCACCATGCTATTTCTTGCCTGGTGAAGCTTGGAAGTGGGGCCGCTTTCTCCATTTGTATATTTGGGCTTGGTTCACAGGGGTGTACTTTTCTGGCAGGCCGCTGGCCATTGTCGCCTGCAGTCCCAGTGAAGAGGAGACCCTTGGGAGGTTTTTTGCCCTGTGCTCAGTACATTGGGTCATTTGGAAAAAGTGGGATGTGTGGAAGCAGGGAAACAGCGATTCCTTTGTTAATAGCGGGGTTTACGGGGCCCTGGGCAATGTAAAAATCCTTCTGAAGACAGACGATGTCTGCTGCTTGGTGTGAGATCTCACCCTGCCTTTCGGTCTGGCTCCAGAACCGGGCTCTGGAACTGGCTGTGCATTCCTCCGGGCTGCCCGCCCAGCAGAAGCAGCTGGGCTGGGAGGAACTGGAACAGCTGATCCGACAGGAGCAGCAGCTGCTGAGGGAAGAGAACGAGAGGCTCCAGAGAGAAGTCCAGAACACTAAAACGGATCTAACACATTCCCGGGAGAAGGTAGCGCTAACCGATTGGACTGCATCGGGGGGAAGCGGGGGCAAGAGGCGGCCAGCGGGCTGCATCCGGCCCGCCATGCCGCTGGATCTAGCCCGGGGCCGCCTCGCCAGCACCCTTACTGCAAAGCAGCTGCTGCTGCTTTAAACAGCAGGCAGCTAATTACTCTGCAAGTTGGGCAGGGAGGAGAGAGCTTCTGGTGCTGTGCCTGCCTCCTAGTAAAATTCCTAAGCTCCCATTGGCCAGTTTCTGGCCAATAGGAGCTGAGAAATTTTGCTGAAGGCAGGGGAAGTGAATGACTCCTCCCTCCCTGTGCTGGAGCAGCGCCCCCTACACACACACAGGCAGGGAGCCTGTCTCAGGTTCATGCAGAGCTGCTGGCTGGGAGATGCTTAGGTGAGTACCTCCCAGCCAGAGCCTGCCTCTGGCTCCTCAACTCCTCTATCTGCCCCAAGCCACCCCCAAACCCTCTGTATCCCCTCTCCCCACCTCCTCCAGGTCACAGCTCCCTCCCAGACCCTGCATCCCCCGCCCACGCCAGAATCCTCTCCTGCATGCATACTGCTCCTGGACCCTGCACCCCAAGCCCTCCCCCAGATTATAACCCCCTCCTTCACCCAAAGTCCCTCTCAGACCCCACACTCCCTCCTGCACCCCAGTCCTCTATCCCAAGCTCCCTTCTATACCCCACCCGCTGCCCCAGACCCCGTACCCGCTCCAGAGAAATGCGGCTCTTGACCACTTACCAGAATCTTGGAGTGGCCCCCCCATTAACAATTATTGCCCCCCCTGGACTGGATAGCAACTGCATGCCATACAGAACTCAGGGAACGATGCCCATTCAGCAGCTTGTAATGCACACACGCAAATAAAGCTCACTGGTTTTTTAATAGAAATATTGCAGTAGGGCTGCATAACGTTACCTCCCCGAATGCTCCCTCTGCCACTAGAAGCACTGTTCTGTCAGCGTAGTTGTGTCTATACTGGGGGCTTGCTGGCATAGCTGGGCCAGTAGTGATGAGTGATTTTTCACACCTCTTACCCAACATTGCTAGTCCTATATAAAGTTTTACGAGTAGACCAAAACTGCATATGGACATCTTTGTTTTAAACTGCGCTCCTGTTTTCGGGAGACTTGAGGGTTGAGAACTCATTGTGTCTAATCAAAACTTAATAGAAAACAGGGATAGGCTGGCTTGTAAACTAATTGAAAACCATTAAACTTCTCTTTTTAAAGAGGATCCTTTGCAGAAGTGGCTCTCAACCTTTCCAGACGACTGTGCCCCATTCAGGAGTCTGGTTTGTCTTGCCTCCTCCCAGCTTTCACTTGGCTTAAACTATTTTGTTACAAAATCAGATGTATACATACAGAAGTGGTACAAGTATCAGAGGGGTAGCCGTGTTAGTCTGAATCTGCAAAAGCGACGAGGAGTCCTGTGGCACCTTATAGACTAACTGAAGTGTAGGAGCATAAGCTTTCGTGGGCAAAGACCCACTTCGTCAGATGCATGTCAAGTGGTACAGTACACTGGTACTGAAAAATTGCTGACTTTCTCATATTTAGCATACAATTATAAAATAAATCAATTACATTTCAGTGCAGTATAGAGAGCATGATGCTGACTTTGCTAGTGCTTTTTATGTAGCCTGTTGTAAAACAAGGCAAATATCTAGATGAGTTGATGGATCCCCTGGAAGGCCACTGCATACCCCCAGGGGTGTGTGTACTCCTGGCTGATAATCACTGCTTTACTGGAATTCACAACTTTTGGCTGGCAGTAGGAGGAGGAAGGGTAGACTCCGTTCAAAGTTATTTTGCTAAATATATTTAAAAAGTGGAAAATATTGTGGTTAGGAAATGGGTTGGTAGCTTACATTTGAGTTCAGTTCACTGTCACTTTGGATATGCTGGCCAGTGGAAACTTGACTAGAAAACAGATTCTTCATGCTCTGTGTGTTCCTTGTTCAATCTGTGTGCTTGTTAGGTCCGTCAGCTGGAATCTGTAATCCTTTCCATGAAGCACCAGAAGCATCAAAGCCAGTCTGGCATTGTGAAAGCCATAGAGCAAGAGAAATTAAGTCTGAAGAGAGAATGTGAACAGCTTCAGAAGGAATTGTCCTCTGCGCACAGGAAGGTGAGTTCCAGGCTTTAAAACAAATGATCATTTTTCCGGCTTGACTGGAGCACTCATATGTGCTGCAGTGGCATTTGATCAGATGAAATGCTGGAATTTTATTCACACACACACACACACACACACACACACACACACACACACACACACCTCAGAGAGTTGTGCCCCGCTCTTGTGCGGGCTGGACTCGGGAAGGCACTCTTGTGTTTTCAGTGTGTCACGACTAGCATAGGTGTGCACGGCTTTACATCTTGAGGGTATTTGTGTCAGGAGTGGGGTGTGGCAGCTTGTGCAGCATGATCAGGGGAGGGTCTCTCGCTAAGCCCTTGCTCGTCTGCATTAATTACTGTGAGGCACCAGCCCTTAAGTTTGACACTATGAATTTCACATGGAAAGCCACGTTTCTTGTTCCACTACTGAAGCTTCAGAAGGTCAGGTTGCGTTCTGGGCCTTGGGCATGGAATTCTGTGGAGGTATTTCTGCTGCATAAACTTCAGAGGAAGCCAAGGAAAAACTGCCCCTCCGAGTTCACCTGGCTGTTGCTTGCAGTTGTGTTGTCGCCCATCAAGGGGGAGGCACACAAACCCTAAACAACCTGTGTCCTTTGGCCTTTTCGTGAGGAGTCCTTGTCTCCCAGCTCTTGCCCAGGATGGGATTCAGAACCTCTGTTACTTCACGCGTTCTTCGGCCTGCAGTTGAGGGGATCTGGTTTTCTACCTCAGTCTTAGAGATGGTTTCCATTTATGTCAAAGGGGTCCCATATTAGGGATGTGGAAGGTTAACCAGTCGACCCAGTAACAGGGGGACCTGGAGCAGTCCTTGCCCACCTAATTAAACAGGATTATACAACCCTATTCCGTATTAATCTGATACTGAATACTTGAGAGCGCCCTGGGGCCAACCATTGACAGTGTTGAGTACTTGCTTATTTATTCTTTGTCTCCTTACTAGTTTTTTCCTGAAGTGCCAAGTTCTATGGTTAGTTGTAGGGGTTTTTAAACAAAGTTGGTAGACCCATAAGCCAAACTGCATTTTTTTTTCCTGTTAGCTTTTTACTAAATTTTGTGTACGGACATAGATGCTTGCACAACAGAAACAACCGACATAACCAACTACAGGTTGGACCTCCCTGCTCTGGCATCCTGGAGACCTGAGTAGTCCCACACAAGGGAGTTCGCCAGACCAGGGGAGGTCAGGCCTCAGACTCTCCCTGATCTCCTCTCCTGGCTGCCGGCCCTAGCCAGTCCACTACCTCGGTCTGCCTGCTGGGCTCTGCTGCCCCTGGCAGGGCTCCTGCCTCCGGTCGCTGGTCCCGCTCTTGTCACCAGCCAATTGGGGTTCCCTGCCCCCAGGACTCTGGCTCTGTGGGCTACCGGCTGCCAGACCGGTTCTGCTTCCAGCCTCTGGGGCTCTCTGGTCCAGCAACATCCTGTGGGACCACAGATGTTGTTGGACCAGACTGTTCCGGACCAGAAAGGTTCAGCCTGTGTACGTAAACTTCTTACAATGTGTTAATCATTTGCTACTTAACTGCAAGTATGTTTGAAATATTGTATGTTATATAATATGAAAGGTTAAAATATAACTTGTATCTGTAGTAGATTTTACAAACAATTTTCTAAAAGTCCACTTAGTTTTAAATTTCAGTGTGCCTTATTCTTCTTTTATGTACAGAAAAACTGAGGGGGGAGGGGGAAAGAAAATCATTAGAATAAAATACACAAAACAGAAGCAAATTGGCAGAGAAAAGTGGGAGGCAGAGGACAGGCATTTAATAGGATTATTCAGATACTTCCAGGGAAGTATTTCAAAGCTCTTAAACTGCAGCAGGGGAGGTTTAGGTTGGACATTAGGAAAAACTTCTTGTCAGGGTGGATAAAAGCACTGGAATAAATTGCCTAGGGAGGTTGTGGAATCTCCATCTCTGGAGATATTTAAGAGCAGATTAGACAGACATCTTATCAGGGATTGTCTAAATAGCACTTGGTCCTGCCCATGAGGGCAGGGGACTGGACTCGATGACCTCTCGAGATCCCTTCCAGTCCTAGTGTTCCGTGATTCTATGATATTGTGGATATGTCTGTTGGGTATACAGGTCTTTCCAAGCAAAACAACACCTCTAACAGAAGTTATTCTCTTTATACAGATCAGTCAGATGAATTCACTTGAACATGAATTGGGAACCATCAATTTGGAAAATGAAGGGCTAAGAAAAAAGCAAGTCAAACTGGATGAACAACTAATGGAGGTACATTTCAATAAATTTAAACGTTCCTGAATTCAAAAGTATGGGACCAGTTATCTCATAGATGGTGTGTTTAAAGATATTTTCCTGGTATCAGTAGGATAGGAATATGAAACACTAATGTGCAAACTTAAAACTGGAAAAGCTGGCCAGGTAGACGTCTCTTGCACATGTCCAGTCACATTTCATTAATCAAGGAACTATGCTGCACAGCAAATGTGTTCCTACAAAGGGGAACCTTTTGTCATAATTTGTGAGAAGAAACTATAACTACTTCAGGCTCAGGATCAAATGGAAGACCAAGGGACAGATTTTTTTGTAGGGCTGTCAATTAATTGCAGTAAACTTGTGATTAACTCAAAGATCACAATTTTGAAAAAATCGATTGTAGTTTTAATCGCACTGTTAAACAATAGCATGCTATTTGACACGCATTAAATGTGTAATGTTTTTCTATGTTTGCAAGTCTATATTGATTTCAATTACAACGCAGGATGCAAAGTGAACACTGTTCACTTTATATTATTTATTACAAATATTTACACTTGAAAAATAATAAAAAAAATAGTATTTTTCAAATTACCTCATACAGCTATTGCCGGGCAGTCTTGTTGCTGTGAATGTGCAACTTACTAAATGCAGATATTTTATTACATAACTGCACTCCAAACCAAAGCAATGCAAAACTAGAGCAGAGCTGGGGATCCTTTTTTGGGTCAAGGGCCGCTGACCTGAGAAGCCCCTGACCTGAGAAGGAGAAAGACCCTCCCCACATTCCCCTCACACACCAGTGCCTAGCGGGGCCCAGGCTAGTAGATTTTGTGTGCTCCAGCCCTGTGGGTGAGTGGCTGGAGCGCCAGCATGGGCTTCCCAATGCTGAGCCTCGGGCTGGATCCAGGCAAGCCGGGGGCTGCATCCGGGCCTGAAGTTCCCCACCCCTGCTGTAGAGCCGATAAGTTCACTCAGCACGACTTCTTGCTAAAGCAAACAAGTTTGTTTACATTCATGGAAGATGCTGCTGCCCACTTCTTATTTACGATGTGACCCGAATTGAGAACAGGCATTCATGTGGGACTTTTATCACTGGCATTGCAAGGCATTTACATGACCAGACATGCTACACATTCAAATGCCCCATCATTCTTCAGCGATTAATTTTTTCATTGTTTAACAGCCCTAATTTTTTGTATCCAAAGTTAAGAGGAAGACTTCAGTGTTTCTACCCAAACCCTATGCAGCAACAATAGCATGAAAACACAATTTTAGGGAGCTATAAATGGTCACTGTCTTGTAACTTCTTACAGCTTAATGACCGTGCATGTTAATTTTAAATAGCTTGCTTTTTAACATAACCAAATATCAGACAAATGTACTTGTCCTGCTGGACGATAGTAAGTTTCTGGGGAGTTTTACTTTGAATGTGTCCTGTTCTTTTTAAGAGCCAGTAACACAAGATGGCTCCTGTGAACACAGAAGAGGGAGAGAAAAATTGCTTGTACTCCTAACTTCTAGTCTGCCTGATTTATTTTTGTGCTTGAAACAAGTTTCTGAAAACACCATTTGAAAGATTTTTTTTCTTATTTATGATGGGAATATTTTGCAGCTGAACTTGAACTTCGAACTCATGACCCTCGGTCTGACCTGATCTCCTGAACTTGAGGGAGAGACTTGTGACGCACAATCGAGTCTTGTGCCAAAATAAGAATGAGAGTATATCCCAGAGGACGCTTGCACAGCGAGCGGCATTATAAAAGACTTTTTTAAAATGGGCTAGAGATGGGCCCCAAGTAGACTGTTAGAAAACACAGTAGTTCAGTTATGTAACTTAAAATATGACTCTACCATCTCCTTGAGAGGTAATTAGTGGCTGACAGGATGTCTGAAATGCTGGTGTTTCTATATATGCTAAAAAAAAAATTCTATTACATGTAAGAAAATTGAAATCATGGGAGCTCAGATATACTAAATGCTCTTGCTCGGGGTGGCTATAAAAGGTGAGGGAAGGGGCTGGCTTCCCAAACTACCAGTCTGGCCTAGAATGTCTTCTGAAGGCCAACTGAGGGGGAGTGTTGATGCCCCCGAACACTCACCCTCCCTGTACTCTGCGGCTGAGGAGGCTGGAGCTGCATGTTGCCCCCACCTCTCCAGGGCGCTCTGGGTGGAAAGGGGGGAGGCTTGGGTAGAAGGGGTGTGGTTGGCAGTGGGGCTGAGGGCTTGCCTTCCCCAGCCCTACCTTCACCCTCTGCCCATGCTTTCGGCTGTTTCTTTCCCCAGTAATTACCATGCGTGGCATTGTATTTCTCTTGTCAAACTTACTCTAGTAACATGCAAGATTTTTCTGTCCTCTCTCCTAAGCTTTTCCCCACAGGTGTGTATAAAACTCACTTGGCGCCTCGCGCGTCCTAACGACTCTTTCTCTCTTGTGCTTCTCCTTTTGTTTGTGGCTAACCTGTGACTAGAACTCAGTGGTTGGAAGTAGCAGAGAAGGGTGCAGTGCTCTGTCTGAGAGTGTGTGTGAAGGTAGCGCAATCATTTTCAACGTACTTCCATCGCATGGAGAAGTCTCGTTTAATTTCTTTCTTACAATGTTAATTGTAGTGGGTTTGTAACGCTCCTTATCTCTGAAGGAGTCACTCTTCATTGTAAGACAGCGAGGCGTACCCTGAGTTCAAACGCTCTATTGCTTATAAAAAGGATGTGGATAGCTCATGAATATTCCATCCAGTAATGTGGCATATCTTTCAAAGTCTGTTCCCGAGATTATTTGCGAAGTCCTAACTGATCAGCTTTTCAGAAGACTAAAACTGGACATCACCAAAATGAAAAGTGGCTCTGAAATGTCATTGTTCTGTGTTCATTTATTAATTCCATTTACTCTTGAGAGGGTTGGTGAGCTCTCTTCATTAACATTGGCAATGTTGCATGCCTGTCATTGTAACTCTCTGGCACACTTTTTAAATGTGGTCAGACTACATCTCTTGCTTAATCTTTCAGGAAGGGCTGTTCCTTTCTCCTCTCTCCCCAGCAGATTAGCATGGCAAAAGATTATA